AGTGTGTCTGGGAATATGGCGGTTACAGTCGCTGTTACTGTAGTCATTCTTGTGCCAGTCTGTTTCTTGCATGTTCGTGGAGGGATGAAATAATTGGTGTAAGTCTCCAGGCCTGTTACATAAACACATGTGGATGGATTGTTCATGTTCATTGTACATTACTGTATGTCATATACTTTATACTGGCATTGATCCGGTGAAATTACAACACAGCAGGTGAACCAGTATTAATTTGTTTTTATCATTAAAAGTAATAAGCTGAATCATCCACACAGCAGACTTAAGTAAGTATATGCCACAAGAGTGATTGTTTCTCCAGTAAGGGCAGGCTCCTTTTGTGGCACCGGCATGTGGACAACAAGTGGCGTTTAAAACGGCATGTGGGGAATAAATGGTGTTTAAAATGGCATGTGGACAACAATTACAGTTGAAAGCAGCCTTTACAAGACACAACAAGCAGCATATGAGGAGCTACTGGAACCAGTGGCTTGGATGGAAGAGCACAGGTCTGGGGTTCCATTGGTTGCTGGTTCAAATCCCTAGTGACTACCACTGACATTTGCTGATTTTGAGTCCTTGGGCAAAACACTTCATGGAGAATGTGCCATACGTTATTTGGGTAATATTATAATATAAGTTATCACATAAACTTGTTCAAGGACCTGATTTCATGTATGATAAATTGCTTAAATATCTTATAAATTGTTCCTGCCTGTGGCGTATTTAGTTTATAACTGCCTCTCATACAGTAGACTCCAGCTTCAAATCCAAGTGAAGGCTTGGTTTTGAACCTGTAATCTTCCACTTGAGAGACAGTTATAAACCACGTGTGCCACAAGCAGGAACAATTGTGATAAGGCCCTTGAACAACTTTATAACGTATAACTCATAATATTGCCCACATAAAATATTTCAAACAATTTATGACACTTCTTACATTCTCCATGAAGTGTTTTGCCCAAGGACCCAACATCAGCAAATGTCAATGGTAGGTAGTCACTGTAGACTGTCGAGAGACAGGTTATTTTTACCCTAGTGATGATGTAATATTAATCCTAATGCAAGATATATATATATATATATATATATATATATATATATATATATATATATATATATATATATATATATATATATATATATATATATATATATATATATATATATATATATATATATAATTTTTATTTAATCTGACAAAAAAATAAAAATAACAAGGCTTGGATTTGAACTTGGAGTCTTCTGCATGAGAGGCAGTTATAAAAGAAGTGCGCCACAAGCAAGTACACTTGTGTAGAGATTAAAACAATTGATCATACATGAAGGTCCTTGAACAAGTTAATGCGATAACTTATATTTTAAAAATACCCAAATAACTTTTTTCAAACAACATATGGCATATTCTCCATGAAGTGTTTTGCACAAGGACCCAACCCAGCAAATGTCAATGGTAGTCACTGGGGATTTGAACCAGCATCCATTGGAACCCCAGAGCTGTGCTCTTAATCTGAGCCACTGGTTCCAGTATCTCCTTCAATGCTGCTTGTTGTGTCTTGTACAGGCTGCATTCAACTATATTTGTTGTCCCCATGCCGTTTTAAACGCCATTTATTCCCCACATACTGTTTTAAACGCCATTTATTCCCCACATGCTGCTTTAAATGCCATTTGTTCCCCACATGCCGTTTTAAACGCCATTTATTCCCCACACGGAAGAACGGAAATTAGTCATCTGCATTTGACCCACCCGTCAATACCACAAAGGCAACCTTCTCACAATTCTCACTACATTCACCAGCAATGTCTTGTGATTTGGTTTATAGTCTGTATTAAGCACAAGAATTTCAGTGTTATATAAATATTCAAAGCCACGTGAGTAGGACTAATTTCTTTAAGATTGGCACCTGTGTGTGTTTTCTGGCGCACTGGATAAAGTAAATAACCCTATGTAAGGAGATGTCCTGTTTAGTGGCGCCATCTGGTGGTGAAGGTGTTACATCACGATTTCTACATTGTGTTTGTGGTAGAAATAGTTGTAAAAGTAAAAAGTGCTGAATAAATCAGAGCACAACATGCTGTCGTCATCTCATTAGAAAACCTTGGCATAATTAAAATTGCCATTTGGGTTCTCTTTTTGGTGCTTTGGGATGAGAGCTGATTGGCTGAGTGAGGGTGGTCCTCTAATGAAGTTGTTCCAAAGTTATAACAGATGACAAAATGGATGAGAAACAAACTGGCCTCCTGCTGGGGCCCAGAGTCAGGACTAAACATGGGGAGGCAGCATTTCAGAATTATGCTGCTAAAATCTGGAACTTCTTCCTGAAAATGTGTGACAGGCTTCTCCTCTGGCAATGTTCAAATCCAGCTTCAAAACAGTTCTGTTTAGCTGTGCATACAACTGAAGTACTGTAGCTTCACTATTTGTTATGTGATAATGTATGATTCTGATGCCTTGTCTGATTGTTTCTATCTTTTTTTGTTAGCCACTTTGATTTGCCTTGTGTAAGAACTGTGCGATACATATAAACATGTCTTGCCTTCACAGAGACAGTGAAGTATTAGCTGTATTTCAGAGGTGTGGACTCGAGTCATGTGACTTGGACTCGAGTCAGACTCGAGTCATGATTTTGATGACTTTAGACTCGACTTGACCAAATGTAAAAAGACTTGCAACTCGACTTGGACTTTAACATCAATGACTCTGACTTTCACTTGGACTTGCGCCAATTGACTTGCAAAGACTTGCGTAACCCGGGCCATTTTTACCTTTCTCCGCATCTCTCTTTCTATCTATGCCGTCTCTGAAGAAACAAAGCCTCGCGGTAGTTGTAGCGCTCGCGCGAGAGTTTGAACGTGAGTTCCCCGCGGTTCGCGCAGCAACACTTCCCTAAACAAGCGCACTGCATTCACCGGTGGGTGTGTTGTCTAGGGGAGCTGGAAATGAGCGAGCTGCAGGTATTTATCGCGACCTAACGTCATATTTTGTTCTACAAACCGTAATTGATATGCTTTCACTACAGGCGCCTCATACAATTGAATCGACGCAGTTGTCACACTGTGTGCCGTGTTTTAAAGAGGAACTGGTGAGTCAAACTAGCGCTAGCCTGCGCTGCTCTGTTGGCTATTTCTTATATTTTTCTGTGTGGGCGCCGAGGCCTATTATTATGAGTATATTTTTGCTGTGCTCCTCCTGCTAAAGTTTGCATACATTAGATAGTTGTTTTGATTATGTGCACTAAGCTAGATTAATATTTGCACTATTGTTTATGGTGCATTGATATGAGAATCAGTGCTTTGACTGATTGAATTAATTTATATGAGACATTTTATTATGTAATGATATATTGGTAATTATGAGATATTACTAATGCTGGTCCAGTTCATACAGGCCGGGGTCCTTCCCCTCCATTGGTCCCTTCAGTCCTTTGGAACAATAACCACTACGGACATTAAACTGATTATATAGATACAGGTCCTAGCCCAATACTCATATTCATATATGCTGCACTTGCTACTTGCCATTAAAAACCCCAAAGATAAAAAGTATGTTGACATGGACTGCTCTGATTTTATGTGTGGTCTGTGCATGTGTAACTGAGCCTGCATCTGACACAACATCCAATTAGATCACGTAGATAGTTTTGATTTACCAGCAGCCAACGACATGGAACAAACTGTTAGTCCATGGGTCAGAGACCAACGAGAATGCACCAGCAAAACGATTCCTAACATTATTTTGTTTGCCTACAAAAGTACGTGGAGACCAACAAGAAACAAATCGCGGTCAAAAAGACTCGAGAGGACTCGAAAGTCAAACCGTAGGACTTGGGACTGACTTGAGATTTGTTGGCCTTTGACTTGGACTCGACTCGGGACTTGCCTGTCTTGACTCGTGACTTGACTCGGGACTTGAGGGCAATGAATTGAGACTGACTTGTGACTTGCTAAACAATGACTTTGTCCCACCTCTGCTGTATTTTAATATTTTAATGAAATGTAATCAGTTAAAGGAGCAGTACGTAAAAATATAGCCAAAAGTGGTACTGCAACCTCTCCCACTCTCCCTGACTCAGGTTGCCAGGTATGCAGACGAATCCTGCCGGGACCATAATATCTGAATAGACAAGGGGTTTGTCAACAGAAAATCTACAAACAACACCTTTTTCACAAAGGCCCCGATAGAAATCCATGTTTTATTCCTTGTTCTTGTCATTAATGATTTGAGAATCATAACGAGACCCTTTTAAGTTCTGCGGCCACATGTTAATTTACCTGTGAGATTAGCTTGATGCTGTGAGTTCTGGCAACCCGGATCACAGACTTTCTGATTGGTGAAAAAGTGGAGGGCAGGATATACACAAGATTTAGGGGATGTAAAACTAATTTTGAAATCCAAAAATCTCGGCTGAACTGCTGTTGTCAGATAAAGAAGTATTCGAAAAGAGCATGGTTTATTAATTCCTTTCGACATGATATTAGGACCATTTAATGATGTCTTGACATGAAAATCGTACATGTTGCTACTTTAAGAAAGGATTATCAGGTAAGATATTATGTAATTTATATACATATATTTATATATATATATATATATATATATTTCAGAGCAAGCCTCCAGTGTCCTGTCATCACTGTGCCTTAGCTCTCTGCACTACGACAGAGCAGACTGTGTGCACACTTTCTCACATGAGTATAGCACTTTACACTTCCACATAACACAATCACAGCCTTATATGGATCTGTCCCACAGAGATGATGTCATCAGTGATCTCATGGGGTCTCCTTGGGTTTGTAGGTTGGCTTTACTTCTGCTTGAGAGCACAGACTTGGACACACAGCCTCTTGCAAGATGAAACCTCTCCATAAGGACCAGCACTTATAAATAGGTATAGAAAGTGAAATTAAAGCTGCTGTTTCTTTACACATCAAGACAAGATAGACAGATAAACTTAAAAGCAGAAGAAGGATTTTAGTTAAGACGCCTTTTCTGTGGTGACTCAATGGGGAAGTCAGGTAAGTTCAAGAATGCACCCTTAGGACTTGGATGCGAACATGTTTAAACTTATCCTTATTGTTTTTGTGTGTGGTTCTTTAATCTATACAACTGTGCAACAACAGAAGAAGAAGTATGTGTTTTGCAGGTTTACTATTCAGAAAAGCTGTCTTGTAAATTGTCTTGTATGGAGCAGTGGTAAATAGAGCCATTGTGCTGGTGTGAGTGACAGGCACGAGTGGCAGACAGAGATGTGCGTGACTCTCAAATGTGTGTCGTTTGTGTTTTCAGCCTCCAAGCAGTTTGCAGAAGAGCTGCTCCAATCACACAATGACTACAGGAGAAAACACCAGGCTCCACCGCTCAAACTCAGCAACAAAATCAGCAAAGAGGCCACACGGTGAGTCAACACTAACTGTAAGGTTGTATGAGAGTTTACCAGAGAATCAGACAGAGCACGCTGTTGAGGAAAAACACAGGAAATACCTTGTCAGATTGGGCAATATAGAACCACATGTGTCACTGTCACTTTACTTTACTTCCTCATATGAGCAATAATTAACTTGGATAATATCTGAATGTGCAATATACAGTAGAACCACATGTGTCACTCTGGCTCTACTTAGTCTCTTCATCCCAGACCCTCATGCTGCACATGAACAGATGTAAACACACAACATACTTACAGCTTGCACTAGAATATACAGTACGTTTACAGTATGATACAGTATACTTGCTTCTTATTATGGCAAAGGTAGAGATTTTATACTTCATTATTTTGCTCAAGTCAGATGTTTTTGTACTCATTATGCTAGTTAGAGTTAGAAGAGATTTTTATTTCATTTTATTTAGTATGGAGTTATTGTTCATTTATATTGTGTTGCATGCTCCTCGTTCCTACTGTTCTGTAACTGGTGATGCAACACTGAAATGTCCTCACTTTGGGATGACTAAAGGATCTCTTGAAAAGGTTACTTTTTTTTGTATGGCAGTTAATAAACCAGTGTTTTTCAACCATGGCAAAAAAGAATCTGGCTGTTCACAAATCTACTTGGTTGTGGCAAATTGTAAGTCTTTAAAAACAAAATGTCTAATGGCACTTGCAGTATTGTGCTATGTGAACTGGGAGCAGCTCTGACTGCCACCCCCGACCCAGAAATGGATTAAGGGGAAGAAAATGGATGGATGGACTTGTAGTATCTGGTTTTTGCAAATGAACTATTAAAGTATATCCATGCAGATTGGTTTGAACTGTCTTTCTATGTATGTGTCTGCTTTACCACCTCCAAAAGGCGACGATTTTGCTTTAACAATAGATAACATGCACATATAGTAAAAAGTTAGCGATCAGTCAGGGTTAGGGTTAGGGGTTAGAGAAAATCGTTTTTTGAATTTTGATGTCGGCACAAAATTCTGACTGGGATGATATTGTTTTCTTCATCACAGTTATGCTGAAAGTTTGGCGAGCACAAGAATCTTGAAGCACAGCGTCGAGTCCACCAGAGGGAGCTGTGGAGAGAACCTGGCCTGGGCGTCTTATGATCAGTCTGGTAAAACACATTTACTTACTTACTATTATTATTTAATTCCAACCAAGCAGGAGCACACCATCCTCCACCCGTTTCCTCAAGTCTCCAGGCTCAGACTGGACTCACTTGAGGCAGTGGGTGGAGTCTGGTGTGCTCCTGCTTGGTTGGAAGGAAATCCTGCAGCTACATCATTCTTTGAGGACCTGTTTGACACCCCTGCTATACAGTCTGGCTAAAACATAGAAATTGACCAATGAGAACGTTCGCAGTGACGCAGTATCGACCTACTCTGGTCAAGAGGAAACTGAGTTGAAGGTAAAAGCTCTGGATTTACCACTTAGAATATACACTTTCTCACCTATGCTCATGAGCTTTGGTTGATGACTGAAATGACAAGATTGCGGAGACAAGCAGTCCAAATGACTCTCTTCTGCTGAATGGCTGGGAGCTCCCTTAGAGGATAATGTGAGGAGCTCCATTAGGCGAGAGAAGCTCAGAATAGAGACGCTTCTCCTTCACGTCAAGTGGAACGATATTGGGATGGCTGGGGAATCTGTTTGAGGCATGTCCCAAAACTATTTTATTGGATTGAACCAAGAATAAAAGGTGTGAGTAAAGATTCAAACAGAATTGTTAGACTGATTGGCAATTTTTTAAATTTTCTTTCATTGAACTTAATTGCAGCTTGTGTTATGTTTACTGTAGAATACATGATAATAGGGGTGTTTTCTTGAGATGGATAGCTTCTCACCAACAATGGTCACATTTCAGAATCTTTTAAGGGGAAGCACTAAAGACGGTCCGGTCAGCTAAATCCCATCTGTACTATAGAGGAACAGTCTCTCAGATGGAAGAGCTGGCTGGATAGGGAAGTCTGTGGGTCTTGTTCTAACTATTGCCCCTTCAATGCCCTGGATAAAGTGGAAGAAAGAGATGGATGATAAAACTATTTACATTGAACTGTTTCTGTCTAAAACTCAGAGAGAGCAGTTGGGGCTGTTCCCTGATTCACTTAAAGCCCTCAGACTGATGAGTCACTGCACAAATATGTGGAGTGTGCGGCCACGAAATCTCACGGTTCAGATTACAGACGAAAACCTCTGTGACCAGACTTTTCACAAGTATGTGTCGTCTTCATGCAGAGAACATGGGCAAATTTTCTGCATTGAAATATTAATAATAATAATGGGAAAAGGTCAAAGGGCAGACCTGGGTAAAATATGGGCTGGGGGCTCGGCTGTTTACCTCCATCCATCTATTTTCTTCCGTGGTGTTCACAGGCCAGCCCAGAATACCTTGCCAGGAAGGAAGAAAATCAAAACCTAACAATTGTTGCTCAAAATACCTTCATAACGTAAGATGGTTAAAATAAAACAATAGCCACAGATGCTAAGGCAACAATACGGTGATATCCAAATGTGGCCACCTGGATAAATTATGTTGTCTCATATGATTTTCTTTTTTCCAGGTAAAGATGTGACCGACCGCTGGTACGATGAAGTCAAAAATTACAACTTCAAGCGTCCAGGATTCTCTTCGGGCACAGGTCAGCCATGTACCTCACTTACTCTCAGTGACTAGAGCCGATTCACAGCTGTAAAACAGAAACATATTCTTGTGTGTGTATAAATATTTAAACATCTAAATGATTAGAGTGCACATTCCTCCTGCAGGTCACTTCACTGCCATGGTTTGGAAGAGCAGTAAGAAACTGGGCGTGGGTAAAGCCAGCGCTGAAGACGGATCTACCTTTGTGGTTGCCAGATATTCTCCTGCGGGGAACATCACGAACCAGGGCCACTTTGAGAGCAATGTGCTGCCGGCGACACCCACGCCGCCGTCACCTCTGGACGTGTGACCGAGAGTGCACTGAGCGACTGGGAGAGAACCACTTCTGCGCAAGAACTAGATCTATTCATTTGGTGGACATTTAGTTCAAAAGACTTCTATGTTTTAAAGACGAAAAAAGTGCGATACAAAAAGTCGTCATAATATTTTTACATTTGGTCCTCCTTACATTCATTCAGTTATTTAATACTAGTTAAAAGTGCTTCCTGAATTTTTCCTGGATTTTCTTTTTTGTCCATTAAATTTTTGTTTTTACACAATATTCAAGAGTATGTATAGTATAGCATTAAATTTTCTATCTATGACTCAAAAAAGGCACTGAAGTAAGTACTAGTTACATCTGCCTAAAAGAGAGCCAACCACAAAGTTTTATGGTGGACATTTACAAGCAGGGAACAGACTTCTCCAATGGTTGCATCAGAAAAGTTGTGCAATGCATATTTAAAGCAGGGGTAAATAACATGTCTTTTCTTGTTTGTCTTAGAACAAATCAGACCACAACAGGCTGTGTACATCTTGTTAGACAGCTCTTCTTTTTTAGAAAACTTACTTGAAAGATCCCTGAGAGTCACTATCTGTCTCTTTAGGCTGAGGGCTGATTGGCCCAGTGAGACCCAGACTCTAAAAATACATGCATGTGGAAACTAGTAGAACTAAACTGAGAGCAAGGAACTTGTGTCTGATTATGTCATTAGGGTTTAAAAAAAAGTGGTTTTAAAGTTGGGTACCTGAGCTTTAAGTAATACAAACTATTGTATGATTTTAAAAAAATTGACGACTTTTCCTTTTACTATAATGTGAAGCAGTGTTTGCCAAAGTGGGGTCCAGGGCCATGTGGGAGGACCTAGAACAAACAAGTGAGAGTTGTTTCAAATGTATAAATGTAAATTTGCAAATTCAAATAATATTAGAAATGAAACATAAATAACGTCACATATAAAAGAAAAACAACAAAGAATTTAAGTAAGCCGTCCGTCATATCGGCCCCTTTTATAAAGTCTCTCCACTTTTACATACTGTAAGACCAATGGGGAGGGGGCTTTGACAACCAGGAAGTACAGTATGTTCATATTTCCTTTTAATTTCCTGCAGTTAATCCAAAGTGTGATGGTATTATTATGTTCTGTTTCTGCTTTCTGTGTTGCTTTACCAGTTATTTGCAAAATGTTTACAAAGACCTTTTAGTATTGTTAAATTATGCAATATTTTATTTCTGATGTACAGTATGTGACCAACATTACTGCCGCCATCTTGAAGTACATTGAAAACTTAACTCCTCTAAAACACTATTTTGATCTTTTAAAAAATTGTCTTTATGATTCTAGATATGAGCCACAAGGATTGATCGATCAGATACTTTCATTTGTGGGGGAAACTCCAGCTTGCCTTAGCAACCACCTTAGCAACACTTGGATACAGGCTCCAGCTACATTATAATCAAATCGGCTTCTGCCACATTCAACAAACATTCGCAGTCCGCTCCTAATACACACTCTATGGACCCCGCCCTGTTCTGTTTTTGTACTAATTTAATGAAATAAAAAGTTCCAAATAAAAATGTTGTTGCTTTATTTTTCAAATGAAAAACAATAATAAAATAATGTACATGTAATGCTTTTTTGATTGTACCATAAGCAGATCATTCTTTTGAAATCCGAACAAAAGCAGGTCCACTTCACTTTTAGCATCATTTCTCCAAAGAAAGCAGCAGATTGTTTTTCACGTGCTCATGTTAAACGTAAATGTATTACCTGGAGACTTAAAATAAATCCAAATTTAAATGACAAATCCAATTTATCTAGCAAACAGAAGGAGAAGAAATTAGGGGGAAGGGGAAAAAGAGAAGTCTCAAAAGCAGAACAGTACATTTTTACTCAATCCAAGATTCATAAACTAATGAAAATACAATAATTACGGAAGACAATTATATGAACCGCTAAAATTACAATACAGTCAAAAGCGTAATCATATGTTGTCTCCTTTAAAAGCCACACAAATACATAAATAAATATATCAAAATGTGCATCTTTTGTAAGTTCAATGTCTAAGTTGCCAAATATGAATGGTGTCTTGACTGATAAAATATTCATAAGTGATGCAGGATTTCTGATATTTATCACTGTTTTGTAATTAGACTAAAATCATAAGTTTGAAAATAAGGTATGGGCGTATCCACAATGTAAGAGGTTTTATTAAGCAGACAGAGATGGTGCAACATATAATAGCAGCGATACCAAACAGGAGAAACGTGTCCGGCGTTTGGCTGAGGTCCTCACATGGTCAACTCCTGAGAACAAACAGGGGACATCTGTTAGAGTCTGGTGCCGTCTGGTGGAAGGATGAAGTACTGCACCTACATCATGCCATGTATTTCTATTTCTAATTAACAAACAGAGAAAAAAGTTGTGTCTCCTCACTAGAATTCAGGCAAAGTGGGGTTAAGTGTCTTGTCCAAGGACACAACAACAGCAGTCATTAGTGGGAGTCGTGAAGTAGGTCTTACTGTGGGCTTGAAACCCTCGACCTTTGGGTTCTAAGGCCAATGCTCTACCAACTGAGCCACTGTCACCCACCTACACATATCCTGTATACATAATATCAATACAGTCTATGATAATATCTATAGATCGTAAGCCTAATTTATGGAGTAAAAAAACAAAGTAGATCCGACCCAACACAACGGAAAGGAGAAAAGGTTTATCCATGTCTGTCCCAATTATAAGGCTTTTTCATCACCAATGTCAGATAATTAAAAGAAAAAGGAATCATTATTTGTTGCCATTAAAAACAATTGTTTTATCATGTGAAATAATATCGTTGATATATAATGGTGATAGATGCATCAAGGTTGAAGATTATATTAGCCTGTAACACCCTATTCTACCACTAGAGGGAGGTTTTATTTTCCAAATGGGTTTAATTTCCAAATTCGAAAGTGTCAAAACTAATTTGGGGGCACTCATTTTCTTGTAAAAGGCAGAGAAATGGTCTGAGCATTACGTCATTGTGAAAGAAATACATAATACTTTTACAGGACTGAGACAGGTGAAAGAATAACACTAACTCGTGATAATCCAATAACAGGGTTATAATGTCAGCTTTTGTTTTTATTTGAAGTAGTGCTGCTTTGTTCAAAAACAAAAAAATACATTATCTGGTGAAGTTTATATGGATCTTTTATGACACTTTTTAAGAAATTATAGTTAGTCTTACTTCTTCCCACTCAATTTTGCAGGATAGGGGTGAAGAGGAAATGTATATCTGTATTTATGTGAAACAACTGAATCCTAAAATAAATACAAATTCATTAAATTAAAGCTGAAATCATTATTACAACACTAGGCCAAAGCCAGTGATTTTCCACTTAATGTTTTGGTTATCTGAAGGTCGAAGCGAACTAATATATAACAGCGCTTTCACAGATGGTCAGTGGAGGACATTGATTTCTCTGGTTTAAAATCACATGCTCCAAAACTTTGGTTGTGTCTTTTTACCAACAATAAAATGTCTTCTACTGTGACATGATCCCAGACCTCTGCCTCTTTTCTCATTTTTTACAATTTTACAGGCCTAAATCTTGAATAAAACAGTACTTTTTTCAGTTCACACCTCATCAGGACCTTTTGCTTTATCTTTCTGTTGTTTTTGACACACACCAAGCAGAAGCATGCAGTATTTCCTTGGTTTCCTGATGTTAATACTTCAAACTCTCCTCCTCCCACTCACCATGATGGCATTCACAATGTCGTTCTTGTTGTGTTTGAGCGCCCGCACGGCTTTGGCCCGAGAGACGTTGGCCTGAGCCATGACCAGCTCTATGTCCCTGTGCTCCAGCCCGCCCTCGTCCACCTGCCAATCACACACAGAACATCAGACAATAATGTGACTGTGTTAGTCAGATCTGAGCTCTGATGTAGACAGCCTTGGGAATGGAACTTTGCAAATGTATTCAGTTAGATTGAAGAAGAAATAGGATGCTTTTTAACTTTGTCATTTCATATTTTAAAAAGAGTAGTAATATCTTCAATAGATCATTTATGAAGTATGAAGGGTAAAAAAAAAATGAATTTTGGCTGGAACTCCCTGTGCTACCACCAGAGGGGGGAGTTGAATTTGTTGTGCTTGTTTTCCCACATGAAACACACGAGGAATTTCCAGTTATTTTATAGGCAAAACTGCTCTGAGCGGGATGTCATAGTGGTACAATGACATCATGCCAGCTCGGAAAAGTTAACTTCCGACTAGGAACAATTATTATCATTATCATTGTTAAAACAGTGTATTGTGGCAAGTGTGATCAAATAAGAATTTGCTTCATCCAACCCCTTTTAAAACCAGGTACTAGTTATTTGTGTGTTATATTGATATATGTTAAAACATTTGGTGTGAATTAGAATCCAGAGAAATGGTCAAATTATGCCCAAATTATCAGCATTTTATTGGCCACTAAAGGCAAATAAAATGGTGATAATTTGGGACCATTTTCCCAAACTGCCTTTAAATGAACTACAAACTGGTTCACAGCTCAGTCTTACTACTAATTGGATAATGGACAAGATACGATAGCAGCTGATTTTCCTAAACAAATCATTGGCTCTAATTGAGATTTAAGGCTGATTGTAGACGCACAAACAAGTCCAAATATCGACGGGATGATATCGACTTCTACAGCTGCATTTAGTTTGGTGTGAGTTTCTTGTGCGGTTCCTCTGTGTATGATAGTTGTGATGCAAGTATATTATGGAGTTGAATAAAGATATTCAATATCTTTAACCCTCTAGGCGCCACGGTTGACTTGAGTCGACTATTTGCGGTACTGTTTAAAATGGCCGATTGTGTCAAGCAGGGTATCTACATTAAATACATTCAAACTCTCTGCCACAAAATGATTTATTCTGTTTTACCATTTCCCTGTATCGAGTATAGTACAATGTGAGCTCTGTTTGTGTGTTCATGTCCTAGTGATCTGTCAGAAAATATGTAATAAAATTGATGAAAATCCAGGATTGCCACCACCATATGAAGGCATAATATGTAATTTAGTTCCTAAATAAACTTTGGGCCATCCTTATCATTTCTCTAATTTACATGAAGCCTCTATCTCGTATCACTTTTAAGTTATTAAGAAATTAAGGAATAAACCTCTGGCGCCTAAAGGGTTAAAGAAAAGAGTATTGACAAAGTAACATGTGAACAATACGAACCACTTCTTTTGCATACTCGTGAAGAAAAAAGATCCCTGCGTCACTTATTAGGGCACGGTCACATAGGTTTTTACAAAAAAACTAGGCCCAGTGGCCCGGATCGTCGCCACAGGGGTGTGAAGGCGGGCCGCGGTCACATTAGCGGTTATCGCAAGTGCCAGAGCAACTGTGCTGTAGTACAACGCTCGGTCCAGCTGGCGGCGCTAATACTAACTTCAGCAAATACCTTGTTGTCCTAGTAAAGTATCCGTTTCTCTTCCTGTTTACATTCTGCTACTGTAGCTAACAGCTCCAACGCGGATCGCGTTGTTTGTATCAGAGCAATGTGTACAAGTGTGAGAAGTGTCTTTCCCCAAAGTGCAGCAGCTCATTGGAACACGCGTACACGGGAGCGCGCTTTGGATTATCGAGCGTAAGCGCTGAGAAATGAATGAATGAGAATGAAAGAATGAAAAGTGTGGTGTACAAGCAGAGCGACCAGAGCCAGGACACAAGTGTGTGTTGGTGTGATCTGGCAATTAAATAAAGTCTGATTCTTGAACGTCTGAAGTGTTATTGCAAAAGCACCACACTGTGAGAGCGAGGATCAGGAGGCAGAAGGGAGTTATTCCCGTAGGAAAAGCTTCTCTTTGGCTCTGGAGCGACACACTCCCCAGCGCCCCTCGATTTGATTTGATTTATTGAAGAAATGCCGGTCTTGCGAGTCCTTCCGTATAACAATGACCTCGTATGTGATTGGAGGAGCCTGACGAGCCTTCGACTCCTCGTCCAATCACATGTGAGGTTATGGGCATGACCCATACAGCAGTACTTTCAAGACCGGCATATAAACAGACCTGTTTGTTTTACTATACTCAGAAGAACTTTATCTCCAATTCCTGTGTTTGGATTTTGCTGGTTCGTGATCAATGGCTGGGCGATGTCTCGCGTTCAGCTCGCCTTCAACTCCAACTAGAACTCCACAACTTTCAGCCAGTCCGCAGACTGATGAGAAGAAACTGCCGATTGCTCTCAGTGGACTGTCTTGTCAGCTTAATCGACATACTGCCGATATGAATGAGCGGTTCACCCAACTGCAGAATTCGGTAAACTCCAGGTTGCTGTCCATAGAGGACAAGTTGGCGGCTCTGGAGTCGAACAACTGTGATGGAGTGACTAACTCCAAGAAGAGAAGACGGGTGCACAATCCCAAGCATCCTAAGAATATGTTCAATGACTGCAAGCTAAGCTAAGTAGCCTAGCCTAAAACCAAAGCTAAGAGTAGCCTACTAGGCTAGTGGCCTGCACGGGCTTAATATCTGGGCCCGAGCCTGGCCCTGGCCCGAAGGGGTGGAGCGCCAGCCCAGCCCGGTCTGACAGGTTTTCAGAATTCTCCCGTATCAAGCCCGACTTTCTTTTTTTTTTTTCAACAGCCCGGTCCTCAGGCCTAGGGCTCAAGTGCAGAGCTCTAGCCAAGTAGCATTGCAAAAGAACAAGAAAAGTGCATTTTTTGTCATTTACAGGAAGCGGTACGCCGTCTTCAAAACTTGGAGACAAATTGCAGGCGCTACGAACCAGAGCAAGGGTAAGATTTAAAGGAGCTATACCCGTTTCTGCAAGGTTTTAATGTTTAGCACCAACCCTCAACTCGCTCACAGGCTTCCCATTTGCCCTAAGCTCTCATTCCACGGAGCCATTTAGTTTTATTTGTAATCTGACTACGCAAATACAACTAAGCCGTACAACAATCACTGATAAAATGGTACAAAAGCAATGCACTGCTAACAAAATATATAACTGAAAGATTACCGCTAGTTCGCATCCGAATGTAGTCGAAGGCGGTCACGCACCCGCAGGTGTCTCCTATAATCTGTAAGTCTCTCCAGATGTAACAATGTAAGCTAGCTATGTTCACCCGGGCTTGATTTCTTCTTTGATTATTTGAATCTCGCCTCATAATTGCTTCGACCTATTTGCTCGAAGCAATATCTGCAAGTCCAGATTTACACAATGTTGATAAAGACGACATTGTGTGTAAGTGACTTGTTTTTACTGTTTCTCCTTCCTTTTTTGATGTTACTGTGACTTGCGTTTGATTTTTATTCATGCCTTTAAGACATATTACGAGACAGTACGCAGGAGCTTTAGATATACTCTACCAGAAAACTCATTAAACACTGAACTTGTGCTGATGGTTATATTGGGTTAGCAAGGCAGAGGGCCATTTACAATTACAGAGGGCTGCAATTGTCACCCGGGCCTTCATTTAGCCATTCTGGTTCTACACCTAAAATACACAATTTATGATAGAACATTTCAGGTATCAGATTTTGATGAGGATGGAGAATGGATGATTATACCTCTTCCTCCTCTTCGTCGTCTGTCTGCTCTTGAATGCTGAGCGTGGGGGGGACGGGCGGGGCCAGTGGAGCTGACGTCACTGGAACTTTGAACTTCTCTGCAGCGGCTTTGTGGGCTTGTTGGGATAGGTCCTCAATCTAACGGAGGGAAAAGAAACACAATTGTTCGTTAAAATGGAAAATGTGGCCAACAGAGGGAAATGAATATGAACTGGCCTTAGCTTCTCCGAACACGATGTAGATGTCAGAGGCAGGACTTTTGAAAACGTCAGGTCGGCTTATGACAAACAGAATACTTTTGGACTTCCTGATGGTGATCCTCGTCACACCGTGGACCGGCTTGAGACCCAGTTTGGACATGGCCTGAAGACAAGTCAAATAAGTAAAAACACAAGAGAAATGCTGTGTCTTGTTTAATGGGTTAGGGTTAGGAGAATAATTTTAATTCAGTGTTCTATTAAAAATGTATGTGTTTTTTAACAAGTATAGATTCAATTTGTCCCTGGTGTCCTAGGTTAAAATAGAACATACAATTTAGCTGGAAGATATCTCAATGTTTTAGAAATATAGTATAGTAATTTATTTTTACACAGGATACAAAACATATAAACCGCAACGTACAGTTTATAAAGTTTAGAAATGGGTTGGATAAAGCACACACGCAAAAGCCAAACACATGCATACACAAAACACATGCACGCACACACTCACTCACACACACACACACACACACACACACACAGACACACACACACAGACAAGACACCAAATACAGTAATTTACCTATACAGGTTCTAAAAGTAGATCTAATGATGTTCAAATTGCTGTACTTTCGTATGCAAAATATACAATTTTCTTGGTGAGTCTGGTGTGTGTGAAGGGTTGGAAGTGGTCAGAGGGGTATGGCACGGTTTAATGTTTACGTCACTATACCATCAGTCAGACCCAGGGCAGCTGTGGCTACATGTTTGGAGATGATGAATAATGCTATGTAAAGTGTCTATGCGCCTCCCAAAGAGCACCATAAAATAATATGCATTAAATAATGTCTCTGGAACTTGACAAGCTTTAAAGCTTTTAACACATTTTACAGAATTTATGGTGTTTAAAGTTTTTTTTGGGCTGAAAACAATCACACTTTGGATGGTAGCTTCCGCACTGCCTCAAGCTTTTAATTAGATTTCAAAACACTTATGGTGAAAATGACTTTTAGAGACAATATATTCGACATTAAGGCTTGCTTCATTCTGTAATGGGAAAAAGGTACTTAAAAATAATTGTATGCATAAAAATGCCTGAAACACAAACAAAAGTAAAATAATATAGATTTATTATCGTAAATAATTCCAAACTGCTGAAATTGAAAACTAAATCCTGAACTTAAGTCTTATAAATGTTCCCAATGTAGTTTAACTGAAAAAAGTATGGACTAATTTGTCATAATGTGGGATTTGTGCCTGACCTTTCGAGCCTTCTTCTCGCTGCGGCTTTGCTTGGGACGATTCAGCTCAGAGGAAAACGACTGAAAAAGGCCAAATGTTAATAAAGTTATGAGGATTGCAAAAGCTTCCGTGTTTAAATCATGTATTCACAATGCACAAAGAAAAATCCAATTAGTTAGTTTTGATAAGAGCTCACATGAAGCTCTGGCCTCAGCGGCTCCGCCTCCTCCAGCTCAGGGACCGACTCCTCGCTCTCGGACTCGTTACAGGACGTCAAATCTACAAGGTGGGGGAAAGAAAAACAGAATAGGATGGATGCATGTTCCTATTAGCTGTGGATGGTATTTCAGATGAAGGACAGATGTTTTTAATATATATAAATATATATTGATGGAAAAAGTACGTGTGAAATTAAGAAAATTACAATATTGTTTAAAAGTCTATTTACTTCTATCATGTGAAACCAATTAACCACAAAGATATAGTTACATTTTGTTTGTTATAATGTTGATAAATGGCTCCCAGCCATGGATCTATTATAATAACTCCCAGCTTGTAAAACCACCACATGAAACATCTCTAAAATTAAAGTATTTTGAAAGTGGACTGCCATAACTGACATAATTACATCCAACAAAGGCTTGTCATTTCCCTGTAATTAGTCTTTTTTCATAGATTGGTTTCACACTTTACAATTTTATTACACAAATTATTGAGCTTTTGAACGATAATCTACTTTTTGGAGTTTAACTTGCGCATTTTGGTTTATTTTGCTGAAGTTTTGATCCACTAGCAAGGATAGGGTTAAAGTTTTCTGATGCTATTGCTTTGCCTTGAAGGAGTCTCAGCATTAGACATAATTATAAAGTTCTCTAGTATCATATACTGATGAAAAAAATACAGAAATTGAATTTTAATCTTAGACTTTATTTTTATTTTTTTAATCAATTTATTTGTTTTGCTAACCAATGGATAAAATACTGTACAACCCCCAGTCAAATCAAACATTGTGGAATGAATCAGGTCCAGGTTGAACTCCACACCCACAAATAAAAATATAAGAAATTTTGGTAACGCTTTATATTAAGGTGTGCTTGTTAAGTATTAATAAGGTATTAACCCTCTGGGGTCTAGAGCATCGGATCTGACGCCTGCGCACATGTTTTATAAATGTTCAATTTTCTCATGAACGGCAAAACGTAGCGACTTACTTTTTTTTTCTCCGTGAAGTACACATTTCAGGCATTACAGCGCTAGTTTTGTTTTGTCTGTGTGACTTTTGGGGAATTTTCTACGTGTGTTTGAAAGTTGGTGTCCAATCGGATCTTCGAGCGGTCTCCCGTGAGGTAAAACAGCCAAAACAGTAAAGTTATTTTGCTTACACGCTGACACAGGGACTCCCAAAGATTGTCAGAGAGTAGGATGATCCACTCTCCTGTGTGTATGTATTGTCCCATAGTTGAAATTACAGCTGCGATTGCAATTACTGATGCGTAAAAGACGCATTATTTTAGCGGAATGTTACGAAAATGCGTCCCCGACACAGCTAATGTAGCTTTTGATCACTGATCTACGTGATCTACGAGTGATGTGTGTGTTCAGAGTCTGGGCTTGAAAGTGCATTACACAAAGATAGGAGGAGACGCAGATGCAGCGCTCACAAGAGCCAGCACCTGGCTGAACAGTGCGCATTATTGATGTAATTATATTATATATTTATTATTGACATTGATAAATACATTATAATGATATGATGTATATGAATATAAGATGTTGTTTTTCTTTCTTTGTTTTCTTAGTTTTTTTTGTTTTACATATCTTACAGCTGTGATACTGAAGCAATATATAGACATAGACAAACTGCTTCAGGAAGGGCATCAGGAGTACAGCGTTTTTTTCACTTGTAGTGGAATTTTGTAAAAATTATAATAGTCACAGGTTCAATTTTTTTCCCCATCAACCCCAAGACCCTAAATAACATTTCTATACAGTGTAAAAAGTTAGCAATAGCATTTCATTGTGTTTTTCAAAACATTTTGGTGAAATTGAATTTCCGTTTCATTTTTTTCTTTGTCTTCATGATTCCATATTTTTTATATAATTCATATGACAGCTGTACACTATGAATATTATAAATCCACAGGTTGTACTGAAAAAAACAAAGTTTACTGCTTGACTCTGCATCACAAGATGACTGTTTTATGAGCAATTATACACAAAGAAAACCAGGCGAGGAAAGTTCCCCAAAATGAGCTTAGACCTTGAAGGGTTAATAGACATTAGCAACATGCTTATAGATTGCTTATATGTACTTATAAACATATTAATAAGCTGCTCATTTCACTATTCTCTAAATGATGTTGTTCTAGTTATATGCTTTTAAGCATTTAATAAGTAATTAGTAAGATACTTATTAAAGGAGGAATATGTTTATAAATATATGAATAAGCTGCTTATTAAACTATTATCGATACCATGTTAATAGGCCACTAAGAATATGCCTATAAAGATATTAATACGCTGCTTATTAATAGGCAATAGTGGTAATAGGCCACTAAAAATATGCGTTAATACACTGCTTATTACACTATTTTGCAGTACCTTAATCTAAAGCGAGGAGCATTTTTGTTAATGCAGAAAAAAACACAACAATGATCTAAGATGTTTTTATTTATTCAAACAGCAACAATTAAAGTCTAAATGAAAAAATATATCAAAATTAAGTTTGTGCCAAAAGTTTGTTAGTAACTTCAAGGAGCCATGATGCCCCCACTCATGCTCCGACCTGCTCTGTTAATGAATTTTGCTTTGGCAAAACAGTGAATCAACTGACTTCACGAGCCTGAGAGATTAGCGGACAGGGGTGGGAACCTAAGGGTACCTCACGATACGATACGATACACGATACAAAGCTCACGATAAAGATTACAATAACGATTTTATCACGATATGACGATTATTGATATATTGGTCATATCCTATCATATCATTGGTCATATCATATTGTATATGCCATAAATTGGCATATACAATATGCCAATTTATGGCATAAATAAAATAAAAAAGACTCTTTATTTCATGATAAATAGAATGGAGATGCGTAATGTAGCCATATATTAAGTATTGATACCAATAAAAACGAAAAAAAAGGATTTTTTTTTTTTTTTTTTTTTTTTTTTCAAAATTGATATTGATACTTGGCAAATGCATATCGATCGATAATCGAATCGCGGGAGAAAGTATCGTCACACCCCTATTAGCGGAACTCGCCTATTTTTGGGCATCGTCTGGTCCTCCCAGTTCTGCGCAGTTGACGAGCTCCCATGATGCTTTGCGCCAAATACGCGTGCGTTGCTGTCATGCACGTGCACATAGGGGCTCTGACCAATCAGAGCTGCTGATCAGAGTGGGAGTTAGAGCGGGAGTAAGAGCCAGACGAGTAGAGTTTGTGGCAGTAAAATGTGGATTTAAAGAAAACTGAAGGATTTAAGAAGAAAAAAAGTTCAGGATGACAAGGGACACTAAAAGCCCCACAAAATCCAACCTTTATGAAAGCTGTAGGTTCTCTGTCTGCTGAGGTCGAGCTGTTTTAGTTTACATTGAGTTCTATGGGGACAATTTCTGGGTAGCCCACGTGAATTTAGTTTGCAGTACCACGAGAATCTCCCGAGCTACAAGCTAGTAATACCCTATCCAGTTATTATAATAGATCCATGTATACAACGCACACAACCATGGAACTATAATAATAACTGGATAGTGTATTCCTAGCTTATAGCTGTCCCACCCATGGGCACAGGGGGCGCTGTGGTACTGCAGACTAAATTCACGAGGGCTACCCAGAAAAAGTCCCATAGAACTCAATGTAAATTAAAACAGCTCGACCTCAGCTGACAGAGAACCTGACAGAGAACCCACAGCTTTCATAAAGTTTGGATTTTCTGGGGATTTTAGTGTCCCTTGTCATCCTGAACTTTTTTTCTTCTTAAATCCTTCAGTTTTCTTTAAAGTGGTTCTCACCCCCGCTCCTCGGAGCTTACATCACTCACATTTCCTGTTCAAATCTTCCTCTAAATGGGCGTAGCCTGGAGGACTAAAGGGGGCGTGAACGAGACTGGGCCGTTTATATAGCTCTGGGCGGGGGGCTGCTGACGTCAGGTCTCAGGCGCCAGATTCAAAATTCAAATGTAGTAATACAGGTCACCAGCAGATGGCGCCTCACAGATGGTTTTAGGCAGAAAGTTTGACTTTCAACTAATTTGCACCAAAGTGACAAAATTATGACCAGGATATGTAGACAACACTATTGGACACTCATTTATACCGTTTATCAGCAAAAAAAAAAAAAAGTGGATTTGAGGGTGAGTTGTCCTTTAAATCCACATTTTACGGCCACAAACTCTACTCATCTGGCTCCCGCTCTAACTCCCGCTCTAACTCTCGCTCTGATCAGCATCTCTGATTGGTCAGAGCACGGCCCCTCTGTGCACGTGCATGACAGCCACGCAAGCGTATTTGGCGCAAAGCATCATGGGAGCTCGTCCACTGCGCAGAACCGGGAGGACCAGACGATGCCCAAAAATAGGCGAGTTCCGCTAATCTCTCAGGCTCGTGAAGTCAGTTGATTCACTGTTTTGCCAAAGCCAAATTCATTAACAGAGCAGGTCGGAGCATGAGTGGGGGCATCATGGCTCCTTGAAGTTACTAACAAACTTTTGGCACAAACTTAATTTTGATATATTTTTTCATTTAGACTTTAATTGTTGCTGTTTGAATAAATAAAAACATCTTAGATCATTGTTGTGTTTTTTTCTGCATTAACAAAAATGCTCCTCGCTTTAGATTAAGGTACTGCAAAATAGTGTAATAAGCAGTGTATTAACGCATATTTTTAGTGGCCTATTACCACTATTGCCTATTAATAAGCAGCGTATTAATATATTTATAGGCATATTGTTAGTGGCCTATTAACATGGTATCGATAATAGTTTAATAAGCAGCTTATTCATATATTTATAAACATATTCCTCCTTTAATAAGTATCTTACTAATTACTTATTAAATGCTTAAAAGCATATAACTAGAACAACATCATTTAGAGAATAGTGAAATGAGCAGCTTATTAATATGTTTATAAGTACATATAAGCAATCTATAAGCATGTTGCTAATGTCTATTAATACCTTATTAATACTTAACAAGCACACCTTAATATAAAGCGTTACCGAAATTTTTAATGTTTTTTAGAAAAAAAATTTAGGGCCATACCTCTTATTCAAAATTGTCCTTATTTTGTACTTTCAAAATGATATAATGTGAAAACATGTAATTTGATGATTAGCTCATGATTACTCACAACTGCTTTTCAAAGCGAGGTTACATGGGTCTCTGTAGCTATGATTTATGGGACATCCTCCGTGCCGGTCCATCACTGAAGTGTATGGCTGGATTGCTTGTTGACTTGAGTCTTGATGCAGTTTATTTCCCACAATTCCTTTGGCCCGAGGTCTGTGCATAGGCGGTCTGCTATCATCTTCACTGTCTGTGTCTTCCTCAGCCAATCCAGCGTCTTAAAGGAACAACATTGGTCAGATTTTCAAATTAATACAATAAATCATATGTATTGATCAATGAATCTATAATTTAATGTTCACCTATAAATCGCACTTGTTCTTGCATGATTTCTGCATGAGGCTTTACATTTGTTGCTATAGCAGCGGTGTGGGAGGTGAACAAGCCATTGCGTTGTGAATTTGAATCCGCTGATGACTCTTGTGTAGGTTGTGAAAGGTTTAGTGGCATTGATGGAGATGACAAGGAGACAGTCTCTTTCTGGTAACTGCGTATTGGGATATTTTGAGTGGAGGTTTGTTCAGCTTCTGAAATGAAGGGTTGTGATTCCTGGACTGGCGTGGGGAGATTGTCTTCTGGTTTATCGGATTTGGACCATGTGAGGTTTGAGCTTGACGAGCAATGGCTTTTATCTGCATTGTTGCCATTTGTGTCAAGAGTGTTATACATTTGATTAAAAGTCTGGTTCTCAAGTTGCTCCTGTTTTTGAACCGCTGGTTTCTGCTTGCTGTTATCAGTGACATCCTCCATCACAGTTTGGTTACTAGTGTCTGAACTTTCTGTGGGATTGGTTGTGTTCAGCTCTGGACTTTGGTCAGACCTATTATCCTTTTGAAACAGTTTGTTCTTTTGCTTTCCCCTCCTCTTGTTTTTACCAGTTTTCTTATGACCATGTTGTAACATTGTTGTTTCCATATTGTATTCTGATGGTACGCTTTCTTCTTTAACATGTTCAATAAGCTTTTGTTCGTTCTCAGTCTTTATGTTTTGAGTATGGACAAGTTTCTCATTTACATTGTTTGCACTCTGGGCTTCCATACAGAGGTCCTTCTCTGTCGCACCCTGAGATTCACTACTTTCCATCAGACATTGCTTGTCTGATCTACACTCAGATTTACACTTTGGGATGAACGAGCCAAATGATCCTTGAAGCCATGACATAGCTGTATTTGGCTGATGGTTTGTGAGATTTTGACATCTTGTCTTTGCAATTAAGTGGGTATTTTCTACCGTTCTTACTGGGCTTGTCTGTCGGTTTTCCTCAAGAGGAATATTAGAAATAGACTCTCTTAAACCAACACTTTCAGTTTTTGCCTCTTCTGACAAAGCATTAAGGCCTCTACACATAGATACATGTAGTTGTTCAAAGTCATTCATATTTTGACAATCTTTCCAAGTGAATGAATTATGAATATTTGCCTCTTCCTGGGTTAGAAAGCTACTCTGTCTTAGTTCGTCTATCTCTGATATTCTTCCAATTGACTTTGAACATCCAAAATTGGCATGACTCGGCAATCTGCCATCCGATATTTGGTCTTTTCTTTGACTATGCCCGTTGTTTTCATCGTCATCCAAACCAGAATCCAAAACATTGTAGTTTATTTGCCCTACACAATTGCCCAGATCCCCACTGAGATGTTTACTTTTACCACACATGCTCATCCCCAGAGAATGTCCTGTTGCCCAGATATTGTACCCATCCTGTGAACCCAGATGTAAACTAATCTTTTCATCGCACCACGTACGGGCATGATGACTATTGTCTGTTTCAGAGTTTTCTCTTTTGGGTGAGATTGCCAGAGGTGACGAGCACCCAACAGCACCCAATATCCCCTCATCGGTCATCAACAAATTATTTTCCCTAAGATTTTCTTGGGTTGAATCCTTAGACTTGTGTTCAGGTGTTAAGGATGGGGTTGCAACTTCTGGAGTGATAGCTATCGGGATGTTGCTTGGGTTAGTATTGGCGTCTTTCTGGTTAGATAGAAGTAATGGTCCTTTGTTTAAATCGTTTGTCACAATTGGTTTCAAAGACTGATCCAAAGTGTTGACGTATTTCTTACTAGAAAAGGACTTGGACAAGGAAAGCCTCCCAGCTTCCAAGGCCTTGTCTTTCTGAAATTGAGGTTTTATGAACAATGTATAAGAATCCCTTTCAGGCTCATCTGCACTTTCTTCCAAAGTGTTATCATTTGAGTCTCCAATTGCAGCTTGAGGTTTTAAGTCAACTTCTTCAACCCTTTCCTCAGTGGCCAAAGGCAAATTCTCTGATTTTCTAAAAATGTCTGTGGATTTTGAGGAAGTAGCACCAAGAGGCATAAAAGTTTGTGTCACATTAGTTGTAGTGTATGTATTAGTGGTATTTGAAGAAAAAGATTGCTTTGATAATCTCGAGATATCAACTTCAGCTTTGATAACGCTCTCACTTGGGGAAGAAGAGTTCCCCATCTCACCAGAAGGACTGCACAGATCCTCATTGACTAAAGCGTCATCTTGACATATGTTTATGTTCAGGGATTTGTCATTGACAACATCTTGCTCTGCCAGTCTCACATCTGGTATATTAAGAGTTTTGTCCTCTTTGTTTTCTGCATTATTTCCACATTCTTCTGAAACAAGATCAGACTGGTTCTGTGACTCTGAATCTTGATCATGTGATCCGACAGCAGTTTCAACAAGTTCTGTATTTATTGTTGTGGGGTTATCTCCATCTTCTGTTGCTGTGGGTTCCTTTATCTGTGCATGCTGCTCAGTACTATACAGGCGCTCATCCTCCTCACCATTAAAAGAGGCAGAATCCAGTGAGTCATCTGTATCGTCATGGTAGCAGAAAGATTCATCCAAACTTTCATTGATGGATATTTCTGAGAGAGAGTGGAGAAAGGAGCTGTCATCTGTGGGATAATCATGCCCTTTGCTGTCTGAGTCTTCATCATCATCGTCATCCTCTTCATCATCAACAACAGCCTGATTTTCCTCCCCAACCACTTCCACTTCAACATTTACTTCCTGATTTGCTTCCTGGTTCACTTCCTGATTCACTTCCAGATTATCTTCCTGAATCGCACCCTCGTCAAGCTCAACATCTAGACAATCTGTACTTCCAATGGCATAGTCTTCATCATCTTCGTCGTCTTCGTCAACATCAGCCTCTTCCTCTCCAGCTCCATATGCGTCATTCCTCTCATTCATATCTTCCATTTCTTCTTCAGTGGGGAAAAGCATGATCTCCATTGAATCTGCTCTGAAGATGAGGTTGGTGTGTGGAGGGAACCCAAGAAGCGACGCAGGAATCATTTGGTCGTCACCCAGGATGTTGTTGGCACAAGCCGCCTGGGAAAGCATGGACAAACCACAGTTCAATCTTGCAAATGCGTCTAGTGAAATGGTTGGGGAATCAGGACGAAGGTTGGTTGGCGTTACAGTCAGGTCAGACAAAGCAGAAGACGTATAATCAGTGTCTTTGTGTTCAAACATTTCCGCTGATGAACATGATTCTAGCTGCAGTTTTAAGCCTAGGGATCTGGAATATTCTGCTGAGTCCGTCCTTGTTACCTCAACTTCAGACTCCACACCATCCTCTTGGGAGTCACTACTGCGACTGCTACTGCTCCTGAGAGGGGAAATATCTTCAGTCACCCAACTTGGACGACAACTTCCCCTTGAAGCTTTCATCTCCTCCTCAGCGTTAGTCTCTTCCTCTTCCAAAATGGCCATCCCCGTTATATCCGAAATAAAGGCACTCTCTTCAGACCGGGAAAGGTAAAAGTCTCCAACTCTACTTTCCCTTTCTGCCATGGAGCGAACTTTATCCTCAGCATCTTCGTCTCCTATTTCCGATAAGGATCCAACAAAGCAAGCGGGCGCTTCTTGGGTTTCTTCGGTGAGGAGTGGATTTGGAGAGGTTGAAGGTGAAGTTGAAGAGGTGTAAGATGATGCCCGGCTATCTCCGTCCGCTGTCATGTAAGAACCGGAGGAGGAGGTGAGAGGGGAGCATAGGTCTTCACTATCTGAAGGCGACCCAGGTGAGAGCGGATACGCGGGAGACCCTGGGTATGAATGGTGTTTGAGGTGAGAAGAACGCATTTTGGTTGGGGTCGATGGAGCAGTGTAATACAAGTCGGGCTCTCGGGTTGAGGGTACACCCACTCGTAAAGGGTCCACCGCAAAAACTGGTTCGGAAAAAGACAAGGTAACTGGGCAAACAATCTCAGAAAATTGTAGGGAGGGTACTTCTACTGGAGAGCAAATCTGCTCTCCCAAAGCGTCATCTGTGGAAGAGGAATCCAGGTATGATGAAGAGGCCGGGAGCAGTGGGGCTGGGAAGGCAGAAGGGAAATTGGAAGGTGGCTGCAGATCAAGAGGCTTTTGGTTCAACTGGTTTTGGCTTTTGTTTGCCTCCAAGCTAGTTTCTGTTTCGTGTAAACATTTTACAGGAACATTGTGATCACATGTTGCAGTTTGAGATTTCTCTTTTTGTTTCTCTGAATTTTTGAGCAATGATTCCTGACCCATCACCACTCTTGTGTTCATGTTTTGTTGTTCTTGGTAGTCGCTTTCCACTTCTGAACCAGTCAGAACCTAAAGACAAGACATACCGGAGTGTGAAAATACGAATGATTGAAAGTATATTACCCAGCTTAACTCTAATTTGATCTCTACTGTCTAATCACACACCTTGATCCTCTCCATCTTAACCGGAACATGGCGTCCACATGGTCCATGACCTCCCAACTTCCCAGAGAGTCGGAGGGTGGGGCGTCGGTCTGAGCCCTCAGGTTGGGGGCGGGGTGACTCTGAGGACCTACGAATCACATTAACCAACCTGGGACCGAAGGGAGAGGTGCATGCTGGGAGGAGCTTTTGAGGAGTGCTCGGGGACGGACTTGAACCTGTGTCACTGGGAGAGGATCCACTGTCACTTGGAGTAGAGTCCGCCGATGGGTGTCTCCTTAAGTCTAGACAAGGAGAAGACAATGCTACATAAGTCTTATTGCCGTGTTTTTAATCTTAATAAACTGTTGATGATCTGCACTTTAACTGCTGTATTAAATTTGGGACAACAGATGTACACTACACCTTTGAACGACTTTCTGCCAGCCTGAGTGGGAGGTAAACAAGGGCTGGTGCTTTACTCCTCCCAAGGGACAAGTTAAATGAGCTAGGCCATATACACGTTTTAGCCAGTCACACCAATTCTCCAGATTGAAAACTCTTGGATTATACTTCGAAACATGTTGTTCAAATGACTCCCTTTCAAGGATTTTCCCCATTTCTGTTTGTCTGTTATGCATACTTATGTGATAGTACTTGAGGCTTAAACCTAATAAAGCAACAGTACAAATCAATGTCCTCTAGGTTCTACTGTGGGATTTGTCACTCTATAGGCAAAGTGAAATGTTTTGCAATCATAAAATAAAATACAGAACTTTAATCCAATGAAGTCCCCAGGGCTTAGATTTGCCCAAACTGATTATCATGCTAACGAATATACAGTACTGTATATGTTTAAATCACAATCAGTATTCTGTTCAGTGCAGTAGGCAGATAACAGAGCCTCCCTTTAAGTGGGCCATTGCTTCTATGACCTCAGTTCAAATGCTGATGAGTCTCTATCACGCAGCAGAAACCCATCTCAATATAGCCTCAAATATATTATACATCCTGTTCCCCTGGAGCTAAGGCTCTCTCTCTTAATTCACTTTCCTTTCTAAGCTGTGGCAATATGCTGCACCCTTTTTCTATTTTTTATTTTATTTTATTATTATTGCTGCGCATCGAGTACACAGGCAAGGCAGACATAGCTTGTTTTTCAGCACTGCTTTTATTTTCTCATGGGGAAAGGTGGTTAAATCAGACACACTGTTCACTGGAATAAAGAGCAGGATGTAGAAAATCGCACTGGCTGAAGCTGCGTCACTAAATCTGCAACTCCAGCCTGACTGGAGCCCTGGGCTTAACTGCAAGGGAAAGCTGCAACAACAGTGGTCTGAATAATTTATTCTAAACCACTCAGTAAAGATAGATATTTCAATTGTTTTAGGTTAGATTGTAAAAAGGACAACACACAGAAACAATTATTGAGAATATGTTCAATCCAAAGTTAACTGATTCTTCTTTTACAGATAAATAAGATACTAAACATACTATAGGCTCAACACATTGTTTTGTTATGTCTGTGTTGTGTCACTGGCTGCTCCATCAATCACAATGCACATTAAAGAAAGATACAGTACAATTTGTGGCAAAACCAGCATCCCTGGATGAATATGTGTGCGTACAGTGCACTGCCAAGCTGCTGTGTCATGTTCACTGAGAGGGGGAGTATAAGGAAGAAAGGAGGGGTGGTCTCTGCCCAAGCTGCTCTAAAGATGAGGTGAGGGTTGGGATAGAAACACAGCAGTAACAGTTTATGCCTTAGCTTTTACATCTGAATTCATGAGCAGGTGCCATATAGGCAAAGAACAAAGGATTAACCCCTTTAAGCAGAAATAGTTAGCAACCTGAACTATAATGTACATACAAGATGTACAATGATGGATTTGAGTAAAACTAAGGAAGTATTCAAAGTCATACCTGGTCCAGAGAAGTGTGCGTCATCGGCCCCCAGCTCGAGATGCTTTTCGGCAGGGCCAGATCTGTGGTTGCTTTCTCCGGGCATGCTTCAGTCTGTGGCTCTGACGCACCAATAAAACATACAGAGTAGACGATGAGTGAGAGGAGGGGGGGATCAGAGCACGTGATGGTCCATGAGTTTGGGAATAAAAAGAAGCAGCTAAGAGGAGAGCGGATTCATGTGCTGCAGTGGTGATGCTGAGTCCATTTGTGGGGCAGAGGTTTGGAGCCGCAGTGTTCTCTCTCTCTCTCTCTTGCTCTCTCTTCATCTTTGTGTGCTCCCTCACCACCAGGATACAGCTGGATCTTGAGAGATGATGTCAGCAGATTTCTACAGCCCCATCTATCCTCAGTGCTGCCCTCAACCTTGAAGGAAAGTACTGCAATAACAAGACAGTTGAAATGCAAAAGGAAATCAGCTGGTATGCACACTCAGATTGTTTGAGGATTAAATGACTTGAATGCAGGTATAAACTGATACTTGAGCAACAAACAGGGATTTTATTGTATCAATTCAAGATATGGTTATACAGTATGTAATGTTTTCAAATAAGTGAAATATTCTATCAATCAATCAATCCGAATGTATTTATAAAGTGCTTTTCATACTGAAGATTCAACACAAAGTACTTTATAGTATTGGTTAAAAACAATCCCGCCCATGACCCATACTCCCGACCACCCAACAGACCCACCCCAAACCACATATAATATTCAGAACGGGCAGAGGGATGCACACATGCACACACGCACGCACACACGCTCACGCACACACACACGCACGCACACACCAGTTTACACCAGTAAAACAATGAAACCATGAAGAGAGACTTGGCATGGTTCAGATGCAACCAGCTGAAGAAGCGTCATTCAAGGAGCCGTCTGCACCAGGAGAAGAGAGCCGCCCGTAGCCACAGGGGACAGCACAGGACCCAGAGGACGCACAAAGCTGAGGCTCCAGGCCCCCACCAGATCCAACGATACAATTAAAAAAAATAACAAATAAATATATAAAAACATTTAAAATTTGAGACCAAAAGGAAACTAACACAATACATATAGTAATCCAATAGTATAATAATAATAAATAAAAAAACTAAAGTATAAAATGTGTCTAAAAATATAAATAGAACATATAAAATGCAATAAAAATAATAGATACTAGTCAACAGCTAATCTAAAGAGGTGTGTCTTGAGCCTGCCTTTAAAAATATGAATGTTCTCTGCTGCCCTGAGCTCCTCCGGCAGACTGTTCCAGAGACGGGGGCCGTGGTGTAGAGTTTCGCTTTTCAGCCCGAGCACATTTCCGCGCTCAGCTGTCGGGCTCCTTCTTTTTTTTTTCTTTTTTTTATTATCATAAATTTTTAATTGATTATTTGTATACATAATGATATGCATATATATATTTATTGATAATAATGCCCGTTGATTGACAACAAGTTCTTAAAATAAGTGAATATATTAATGACACTGTAACAGGCGTGTCCTACAGCAGCAGCAAGCCGTGAACGCATCATCCCTGTTTTTCCTGTTGAATGATATGGTCAAGTGCGAACATTAATAGAAATGGATCGGGTGGACATACAAAACAAATTCAAAAGTGGAGAGCTAAACTTGCAAATAGAAGGTGAATGCGTACAACTGGGGTAATCAGATGTGGCTGGCTCGGGCCTATTATACAGCGTTAATTGGTCGGGCTTATACAGGCTCGGGCTTAATATTAGCGGGCTCTGCAGCGACACACTCCCCTGCGCCCCTCGACCACACAAGCAGAGAATACAAAAGTTCAGGAGAGACGTGTGTGAAAATGCCCGTCACAACGGAAGACGTAATGTGACGCACAATATGAAGTCCCCACCACACCTTATCCCCCACTCCCCACCACCCGCCACACTGACCCCCCTCATCTGGGCTTTACAAGCGTGCCCCAGGTCTAGTTGCTGCGGTCACATAGCACCTAAAGCCTGGATCAAACCGCTAAGCGGGCCCTGGCCCACTTGTTCACTGGTGTCACGGAGGCAAAAGGAAAACAACCCAAAACGCAGAACTGAAACAATGGATTTAATAAAATCAAATACAAATGAAAATCCAGTGATAATACAAAAAGTAACTGACAACAAACTGAAGACAGGAACGAAAACAGACAAGGACAGATGACAGAACCATAGACTGTATATAGTAACGGACAGAGTCACGCCTATCTCCGCCGTTCTAACTAATGGGCCAAAAAATGTGCTCTACTGGAGCAATCCAAAATTGCAGCGAGTGGTCCCGCCCACACGAAAATTGTGAAAAAACGCATCTGCGCATGCGTCAGCCGGCGCAACTCCATTCATTTAAACGAGAGACTTCAAAAATTCACAGCAAGTGAACTAGAGTGGACCAAAAAAACCCACCCCCCTCAGCATTGACACACATGTGGAACGGAGCTGTGGGCCAAGAGCCAACTTTTGGTCCATCCTGTAAAGACGTTTTTGAGAGGTCTGCCAATGCTATATGTTAGCATTGGCTAATTCTTCTTCTGGGTCCACCCCCATCGGCCCGGGGTGGTATTGCAAGCATGTCAGCGCACGTCATTTTGGCCACTTTAGAGCCGGGACCCGCCCCCATTGGACAGAACAGGGAGTGAAGGAACTAAAGGGGCTAAAATACAAGACTAACAAGACATAGGTGATACACTTGAGGGCGGGGCAGGTGATCAGAATCAGAATCAGAATAATTTGTATTGCCACGTAAGTAACAGGAAGTCACAGACTTGGAATTTACTTTGGCTCAGTGCAACAGTCAGAGAGAGATAATAAAAAATAAAGAATAAAAAACACTTCTAAGGTAGAAATTTAAATTTAGGCAACAGGAAGTACAACTAAACCAACAAGGATTTAAACAAATGACAAAATAAAACAGGGGAAAAAAACCTAAACAATGACAACTGATCCCTATCAAATGAATAAATAATAAATTCTGTATTATCTCCAGTATTTCCTCCGGCAGAGCCCTCTCCACTGGAACCAGCTATGGCTATAGGGGTCTGGCTGTTGGACCTGGGTTTGGAACCTTCGGAGCCACAGAAAAAACCTCAGCTGGAGATCCACATTGGATATATCAGTGTTAGAAAAGATTTGACCCGTTTGTAAGTAGTCAAAAATTCTGCTGGGAGGCTTTTGACTTGCACCCATAGGAGAGCCCGTATTACTCCAGTCTTGAAATCCACTGGATCCTAGGATCGACCCCTGTGGTACTCCACAGGTCAGGGCCATTTGATCTGAGACACAGTTTCCAACCAACCACCTTAGGGCGGCGCCTGCGACACCAACCCAGTCCTCTAGTCTCTGTAAGAAGATCTCATGGTCGACAGTGTCAAAAGCTGCACTCAGACATAACAAGATTACGACTGAGAATTTGTCCATGTCAGTGTTTAGCCAAATATCCTATACAATATCCTATACAACCTTGACGAAAGCAGTCTCAGTGCTATCGTGGGGTCTAAAGCTGGACTGAAACATTTCAAATGAGTTGTTGATAATAAGAAATCTAGTAAGCTGTTGGTGGACAACTCAATTCAAAGACTTTACCCATAAATGCAACGTTTAAAATTAATCATCATTCATGAATGAACAAGTGAGTGAACAAGTGTGCAGTGAAAGCAGTTGCAAAACTTAAATTTGTTCTACGTTTACCGTAGGTAACAGCATAAAAGAGCTACCACTTTACTGCAGCCATTTTTTCCTGTTCTTTTCTGAAGTAATAATTAATAATTTAATAATAAAATGATGAATCTGTCCCCAGCGGGCCGTGCAATTGACCACACAAGAAGAACGGACCATTTGATTTAATAAAACCTCTTTCCAAACGTCTAAAACCAGCTAACTCTCTAGCATCCAGGTAGCTTTCTATGCTGTATTGCCACCCAGTCTCGTGACCGCCGCGGAAAAACTATAAACAATGACGTCACTCCAAGAGCTCTTTTGCATTTCTTCCATGAACATTATCCACATGTATACTGTAATAACTAAACCATCAACGTCTGTGCACATAACTGAAAGCAACTCCGTAAAATTATCGGTAACACTTTATATTAATGGTACATGAGTTCATGCATGATTCTCATGAACATGACTGCCGTAAATGTTGTCCTAGAAAGTTGCACATTATGTCGTCCATAATTTGCAGTAGATTTCCTCCATGAGTCATGATGTTCATGTATGATCCTCATGATCATGATAGGTTGATCATTTTTTTGTCATTTCATTGCTGTTTCAGTAAATTCATGGTATTCTTATGTGATCCTCATAATCATGATGATTCTTTAAGAATTTCATGTAAATTCATTACAGTAGTTCAACCATTAATTCATGGATGAAGTTATCCATGAACCTACATGTAATCATGTTAGTTCATGAGAATTCATGATCTAGTAATGCATTAGTTCATGAGAATCATTCATAAACTCATGTACCATTAATATAAAGTGTTACCAAATTATCAATAAAATTGTGACATGACTGCGGCGACATGTACAGGACAATGATCAGTATTGGAGGCTGAGGTTTTTGGTGTTGGATGACCTTCAGTCCATTGCTGGTGGAGAAGCCTTCTTTGGAGCTCTCTGTGGACCCACCACCTGCTGGAGGAGCAGAGAGGGACTGGTGCTATATGAGCATTGCAGGGCTCAGCATTAATGGTTGGCCGCTTCGGACAAGTGATGTATTACTGTAACCCATTCAGGCCGAGAACATATTTCTTCATCTGCAGCCGGGAGCGGCTTTGTTTATCTTTTTTGACTAATTCTATTCATAAGTAAATTCTCTGGATCAATGAAATGCATCTGGATAAACCAAGAATTACCATAGACCATCTTAACAGGCACCAAAAGGAGGGAGCACATAACTCCAGTGTTAAAATCACTCCACTGGCTCCCTGTGGAGTACAGAATAAAGTTTAAAATTCTTCTCTTGGCATACAAAGAAATAAATGGCTTGGCTTCCTCTTATCTTCAAGACATGTTTATGTCTCATCAACCAAGCTGACCACTGCGCCCCCAAAATG